AATGAAGTTACTGAAAGGAAGATTGGAAGTCACATCTATCTATCTATCATCTATCTATCTTTTCTTTTTCTATTTCTCTTCTTAATTTCTGTAATTTTAAAATGTATTTTCAATTGGCTAGTCATTTTGTTTAAAAAAAGAAAACGTTGCGAGGGGCTGGTGCAGGGCTTTTGGGTGTTTTCTATGTACGATGGGAAGGTGGCAATGGGAAGGCGGGATGGTTGGAATACCCATCTAAACGTTATTTTATTTTCCCCATAGGTCTGGCACGAGTGACCCCTACTGCATCATCAAGGTGGACAATGAGGTGGTAGCCAGGTAAGGAAAAGTGAAGGCATTGGCACTCTGAAATGCCTGCCAACACACAGACCACTATAAATCTTTTGAATGCAATGACTTGGCCTCAGTCTTACTGGTACCTCCCTTCCAGTAGACCCATTGCGTCAATGGGACTTTCCGTTTAACAACAGATTCTGCAGTTCTGTTCAAACTGAGAGTACACATGCGATTTAAAGCATTGTATAATTTGGTGCAGTGGTTTGCACCTTGGACTATGACTCTGGAGACCAGGGTTCGAATCCCGGCTCGGCCATGGAAACCCACGGGGTGTGTGATCTTGGTGAAGTCACACTCTCTCAGCCTCAGAGGATGGCCAGGGCAAACCCTCCTCCGAAGAAATCTTGCCAAAAAAACCCCACGATGGGTTCGCCATGCGTCAAAAATGACTTGGAGGCCCACGACAGCAACATGATTTGGAGACTGAAAGGGTGGGTGCGCATGAGACATTGACAGATTGAGATCAAGGTGGGCAACATGGGGCTCAGAGGAAGCACCAACCATTTTTGTGGGCCCTTAAGCCCCCTACGCTAAAAGAAACCTGCCCTCTTACAGCGGGTCTACACTGGCCAGAATACTCCAAAGTACTGTTCCTGGAGTATTTTGACTCTGGGCTGCCCTGAATGCTCTCCCCTCCACTATCTACACATTTCAAAGCAACACTGGGTAGCTGTTTACAGAGCATCCCATTGTGCCACCCAGCGCTGGCAGTGCCAGCGCAAGTCACAGAAGTCTCTAGGAAGTTTGATTCACTTTGAAAACAAGTTTTCTTCCCTTTCTTGTATTGTACAGTACAGTACTGTACTATTATTTTAATATTATGAGCCGCTCTGAGTCCCAGTTTTGGGAAAAAAGAGGGCTATTACTACTAGTAGTACTACTACTAGTACTTTTTTTTAAAAAATCCAAACAAAAATGAACTTTTGGAGAGAAGCTTTAGCCCATGAGCCACAGACATCACACACCCTGAGACACACACATGTACACACACACACATGCACGCATGCTTGTATGTATGTCGTATGAGTCAAAGAACGAAGCAGCACTGCTGCAAACAGGTGGAACCTGAGCCTAGAAGGAGAACCCCGATGGTAAAATTGATGATTAATCTAAGGAAACGATTAATAATACAGAGTTTTTATCTGAATCAAGAATTAGATGATTTGGCTTTGCTCTTCTTTGGTGATGCCATGTGGAGTTGACTACACCATTTGGGAACTGCTGCAAGGACTGGTTAGTATGAAGAAGAAGAAGTTAGTGGGCCTGCTGGAAGGGTGGCTCAATCTGAATCCAACTGCAAATCGCGTGTGCCTGTACAATTCAGTGTATGTAGCGGTGATTCCTTTGGCCTCCGCTTTTCCTTCTGCGAAATGGGCAATGGGATTACTTTGCTGGCAGCCAAGCAAACCTGACCGACAACCTGGCAACAGTTTGCCATGGGGCAGTGTTGTGTAGTGGAAGGGGCCCTGTCTTTCTCTTTCTGTATGGGAAGCTGGCAAGAGCCTCGGGCAGTGCCATCCGCAGCCTTGACGCTCCCTTCTCCTTCTCATCCTTCCTCAAATATTTGCTCAAGAGAAAGTTAATGGCATTTCAAGAGGTTTGACGAGGAAAAGATTGAATGGTAAGGATTTATCTTGGGGTGAGTAAACGATTAACTCGATTAACTTGTGGAAGAAGAGAGGGTGCTGAAAGGACTGGCTTCCTGGAGCAGAATATGGTCCCCAAATTTGTTGGGGGGGCAGAGGTTGAGGAAAGTACATTTTGGGGACTGCAACTCCCAGAATCCCCCCCCCAGCCGGTGGTCTGAAACTCCCAGAATCCTCCAGTGGTCTACTTTTGCAAGCTGGCTTGTCCTCAAAGGATCTTTCCAAGCTTTGGTGGAAGGGAAGAGACAAAAGCCTACCTCCTTGGCAGAGCTTGGGAGAAAACATTGTTAGGCTACAACTTCACACGCTCCAAGATTTTGCAGGATGTGTGTGGCCAAGGCACATCCGAGTGTGGTCAAGACAGTGAAACATATCAATGAGGAACATACAAGCAAGGAGAGGCCGCAGCAGTTTCTTTTTGGCTGAGTCTACTAGGAAGGGCATGATTCTGCCTCCTCCTCTCCACTACTCCTAGTGCGTTAACTGAGTGCAAACTACTTTTGCGTTCTCAACTCCGTTTGCAGCACTTAAAGTAAGCGGAAGACCATATGCATCTGAGGAAGGAAACTAATGTCTAGGAAAGCTCATGCTGCCAACGTTTTTCTTTCAGGGAATCTGAAAGGTGCTGCAAGATCTCTCTAAGCTGAAGACAATGAGGGAAAGTGGGGAAAAGAGTGATTAACTATAGCGCCTATATAGAGCATTTGAAGAGCAAGTGAAAAAGTGGGGCGGCACTTTTTGTCCCAGCCAAATTGTGACGGTTGGAGGGTATGCAGCTCCAGGAATCCGCACGGCCATTTGGAGAATTCTGGGGATTGTAGTCCAAAAAGTCTATCTCCATGCTCTGCTTCTTGTCAGAGAAGGGCAGATAGCAATTTTCCACTCCCAGCCCCAGCAACATGGCCTCTGCCATGGACTATTCTGCAGCCTAAATGCTCTATATAGGCACCAGATCCCATGGCAGCTGGAGAGTCTGGGCCAGGCCCTGAGATCTGGCAACCGTGCTTTGAGGTCTCTGATGTGCAAAGACTTAGGGCTGTGATGTGAACCACAAACCTCACAGTGTCGATCCGAGGCTTAGCTTGGCAAAGTGCTTCTTGGAACTACAGAGGCAGGGATTTTGCAAGATCCGTTGGTTCCTGTTTGCTTTGGAATCGGCTCTCGACAATGCAAGACGGCCTTCAAAGGGCAGTGTGTTTTTGCACGAAGGCGGACGGAGCGTGAGGGACTTGTGTTCATCTGGGGATGGCTGTCGAATGTTAGGAATGCCTTTGTTGCAAAACCTGAGATTTGTTTTATATTGCAGGGGTGTGTGTGTGTATTTCTTGCTGGAAATCGAACAGAGACCTCAATAAAAAGTAACCAGATGCTGAGAGGTGGGAAGGCATTATAAATTCCACTGAAGCCTTGACTGATATATAGGAGGGTGACTAATAGGGCATGAGAAATATTCCTGAGTGTGATCTTGTGGTTAGAGTGTTGGACTGGGACCAGAGAAATCCAGAATGAAAGTCCCAGTCAGCCATCAAACTTAGTGGGTGACCTTGGGCCAGTCACTTTCTCCCAACCTGGCCTACCTTACAAGGTGGATCTGAGAACAAAATGGGGAGGAGGAGAACCATGCATGATGCTGTGAGCTCACTGGAGGGAAGGAAGCCCACACTCTGTCCCAGGGTTTATCTGTGAAATGTTGGAAGGGGTGTCTGTGGAACTGTCAGGCTTAGCGTTGGATGCAGGACCCGTGAAGTAACACCTAGATTCAGTGGGTCTATTATAGCACTTGGAGGGAGACCCAAGAACCTCCTGTCCCATAGGCCACCGCTGATCGCTCTCTTCTTCCGTCCTGCAGGACTGCAACTGTATGGAAGAATCTCAACCCTTTCTGGGGAGAGGAATACACCCTGCACCTTCCAATGGGCTTCCATAACCTCTCTTTCTACGTTCTGGATGAAGACACCATTGGGTAAGCAGGGAGGGAAAGATATAGTGAAGCCTCCAACCCAGGTTATGAAACAGAAGTATTACTTCATTCTTAACAAGGAGGTATTTACTGCCACCATTCTACATGTCATTCAGAGTAACATAGGAGGAAGGTAGCTCCTTGCTCCGAGGAGATTATAGTTAGGGAAGGGGGCAAGTGGTTGGTGGAAAGAAGCATGGCCTCACCCTACAACATCTGTGGGCAGTTGTTAACAACCTCAGTGAGGCCTACTATTTGCTTGAAGCACCCTATGAGGGACACGTTTTGGGGTCATTTTAGGTCCTGAAGAGGCCTTTTTTGATAAACTGATACATTCAAGACATCCTAAAAACTGCTGCAGCCACTCCATTTTGCAGTCCTGGCCATTCAGGTTGAGGTTCATGCTTGGAATGGGAAGGAGGGCTTCATTGGAGAACTTGTAGATTTCACCTCTGGTACCCAAATATTTGGGGCCAGCCCTGATCCCAGCTCGATCCGTCTCACTTCTTGTCTCTACACAGGCATGATGACATTATTGGCAAAATTACCCTCAGCAAAGAGGCCATCTCTTCCAACCCACGGGGTAAGTGCTGGTGGGTACCCATACTGGGGAGGGTCACTGGTGGGTTGGAGATCCTTGCATCCAACGGGTGCCAACTTTGGTTTCACAAGAAGATGATTGAGAAGTCCTCAGTATCTCTGGTCCATATGCAGAGAGCAATGCTCAACTCTTGGAGGAAGCCACAAACAAAATATTAATGGGAAATGTTGGCATGTAGGGCAGAGGTAGGCAACATGTGGGCTGCATCTATCCATTGCTGTTGCCATATTAACCACTAATCCTATAAGCAAGCTGGTGAAGCTTGGCATGGCTGCAAAAAGGAGACTCTTTTCCTCCCTTCCTTCCTTTTCTGCAAGGTACGGAGAGGCTTTGTCACGTTGGTCTCTGCAGGTGTTTCTGCTACAGAAGCATACCCTGGCATCTTCCTGTGCCATAGAGAGCCTTGGCATCACGTGTATCAGTGGAGGGAACTTAAGTTGCAATGCTGGTACAGCAGAAAAAGATCTTTTCCTCTTTCCCTTCCAGAAGGGGAAGAAGCACTCTGCTAAGACAGTCGGCAGGCCACTGTGATAAAAGAGAGCACTGGCCCTCTTCTCCACTATATAGAGTTGTTGTCTCTTGGCATTGACTTCAGTAACAGAGGGAATGTGGGTGGCGAAGGTGGTGCAGCAAAATGAGATTTTTCCTCCTTCACTTTCAGAAGGGATGATGACACTTTGTTGCACCATTTGTCAAGTCTCTATAGTGCAGGAGGGCACTCTGGCACCCCTCTGCACTATAGAAAGAGAGCTGATGAAGTTATTGCCTTGACATCAGCTGCAGCAATGGAAGAATCCTAGGCAGGAACAGTGACACATCCAGTGTAACCCTCCACATTGTGCATGGGTTGTGCATGTCTAGATCACCTTATGCCTTAATCTGAAGTGCTTCACACCATCCTTTGGCTGCCCTCTTGGTAGTTTGCCTCCATTTTTAATAGAAGGCAAAAGAAAGTGAGGGCAACAGAGATGGGGCAAGGGAGCATCTCAGTGTTGTCACTAGGATTTTGGTGTCACC